AACCCTACATCAAAAACAAGCTTTCACAAAAGAATTGCAGTTAAGCAAGCATTCTGGAAATAGGAAGAACATAACTAAGACCAAGTGATACACCACTAAGTTCAGGTCAAGAAAAACCGACATCACATGGATTAAAATCTTCATGCTTCAGCGGCTCAGTTTAACATGGAGATTATCAAAATTCACTTACCCGCATCGACATTCTACCTCGGAACATGGCAGCTACGGTTAGGTAACGACCATGACGCGGATCACATGCTGCCATCATATTTTTGGCATCAAACATCTGAAGAAATAAGATATTAAAAAACATAAAACAGCAGACATTTAAAGCGATTATAAATGGATTACTTTCAACAAAAGAGACCCTGATCATAAAAATAAACAGAGACCTGTTGAGTAAGTTCAGCAACATTGAGGGCTCGATAAGCAGCAGCATCACGAGCAGAGAGAGGAGCAAATCCTGGCATAAAGAAATGCAACCGTGGAAATGGTACCATATTGACGGCAAGTTTACGGAGATCGGCGTTCAACTGTCCAGGGAAACGTAAGCAAGTTGTTACTCCCGACATTGTCACAGACACTAAATAGAAATTTTAACCTCTAGAAGAGTTGAAAAAATTGCAATTAAATCCGAATTTTATAATAGTTAAATAGAATGCATTTAAACCGGACAGCTTGAAGAATAAATTAAAGGACGAACCCAAATGGTTGAGGTCACCGTAAGTTGGATTTGCCAACTTCAACGTTCGGAAGCAGATGTCATACAAAGCCTCGTTATCAATGCAGAAAGTTTCGTCAGTGTTTTCAACTAGTTGGTGGACTGATAATGTTGCATTGTAGGGTTCCAACACAACATCTGATACCTGGAAATCATTAATACGTCTAGCATACTTTTTCTTCAACTATGAAAATGATATGATAGCCGAAAAACCACTTTGTGAGACAATCGCCACTTAAAAGTTATGGAGCTATGTTTAAAATAGATATAACAGATGTTAAAAATAAGAATCAGAAATTCAAATATATACTTTGGGCGATGGCACAACCGAAAAAGAGCTCATAATTCGATCTGGATACTCCTCACGAATTTTCGAGATCAGCAATGTTCCCATGCCGGAACCGGTACCACCACCAAGTGAATGCGTTAGTTGAAATCCCTGAAAATATTTTTTAATTTTTTCTTTAAAATAAAAACACATCCACAATTAAAATGTCTTATAAAACTATAGCAATCCGTACCTGAAGACAATCGCATCCTTCAGCTTCTTTTCGTATCACGTCCAACACATTATCAACTAGTTCCGCACCTTCCGTATAATGTCCCTTAGCCCAGTTGTTGCCAGCTCCACTTTGTCCAAAAACAAAATTGTCAGGTCGGAATAGTTGCCCGAACTCACCTCCTCGAATAGAATCCATGGTACCTGGTTCCAGATCAACAAGGACTGCTCGTGGCACATATTTGCCCCCTGAACACAAAAAATTAATATCGCTTAAGACGAAGTGAAGATTTACAACGATGCTTGATTCATTATTGCAATCTATTATCAAGTATATCTTTACAGAAAACCTAAAGAAAAATACTTTTCATTGCATAATGAAGAGAGGAAAAACAAAAAGACGAGAATAAAGATGTATTACAAACATTACTGACAAGCTAACATATGACGAATGTCTTGTTTGGTTTAATTTCATTACGAAGAGATAAGAAAAAAAGAAGACTGTTGCACTGAAAGTTTTTTATCTTGGAATAAATTGACGACGAAGTCATCATAGTGTAGACTGAGAAAGACGAATAACTCGTGAAAAGTTTGAATTGAAGGAATTCTTATTCTTTGTAGGTGTTATAGAATAACAATCAAGACAATCAAGAAACACTGAGGTTAGAAGTTAGAATAGGTCAAAAACACAGTTTGATAAGGTTTTGGTTGAAGTGACGACAATTTGAGATTTGTTTGGTTAAAGTGACAATGTTATTCTTTCCTTATATAGTGCGGTTATTTACTGAGTTTCACAACCGCCAAATAAATTTCACTACCAGGCTTCGAACAAATCACAAGTTAGGTCAAAAAGTGTTTACGATATTCTAAAAATAAGTGTCATTACATTGCAAAAATCCCAAAAATATCATAAACAAAAGTTGTGATCAAAGATAGGTAGATGTCAAAATATCTGTTTTACAATCTTGCTATAATCATTCCCAAATATTTCTGTAACAAAAACATCTTTGATTATGTCGGTTATTCTGAAACTTGTATTTAAATTTATCTAATTTAAACAGTCCATCCATCTCCTTATGTCTCAAATGATTTCACCACGATGGACCTTGAAAAGAGACGCAGACATTCATTTAATTCTCGAACACATTATTTTGAGGACGCCCTGATGAACCTCATCCGCCGAACTAATGTTCGATGGCAGACAACAACTGTTTATATATGGGACTATGTGTGGTATGCATGTGTATGTAGAACTATGTATAATGTGTGTGAAAACGAGTGGCAACAACTAGTAGAGAAAACAAAAAAGAACATTCCAAAGCAAAGAAGAAAAAAAAACTCCAATAATGGACCAACCATTCGCTTCATTATAGTAGACGTTGATTCGTTCAATTTGCAAGTCTGAATCACCTTTGTATGTACCATCAGGTTGAACACCATGTTCATCCGATATTACTTCCCAGAACTGAAAAAAAAAACTCAAGTTATGTTTAAAATTTTCAATTTTTAACTTCAGTAATCCCCTACATCCACATCTTGCTTGCTCCTCAGACATCTTACCTGACTGCAGATTGTTGAAAACAACAACTTATTATACGAAAGATTATCACAACTTGATCTTTGTGATCTAACATCGAATTTTATTAACCGTTCTAGATGGTAGCTATTATGTATTGCATTAGGAATCAACGGAAGCAAAGAAGGGAGAAGATACAATCGAAGAGCAGATGATAAACGATAGCACATTAAGAAATGAAATGGAATATTTTGACGATGATACCTAAATACCAAAACAATTTCAATGAGGGGAAGTGGGAATTATATCTCGGGAAAATTTCTGCGGATAGATACCCTCTGATGAGTCATCTTCCTAAAGGATAAAGAGAAAGAGCAGAAAATCAATACCTTGGCACCAATCTGGTTGCCACACTGACCAGCTTGAACGTGAACAATTTCTCTCATAGCTTAAACACTTAATGAAATCTTGTCGACCGAAATGAGACCTGCAATCAATCCGGTAATTACTGATCAAGTCATCCGGCAACTACAATCAGTCACAGAACTGTTTGGCCAACCCATCCGCGCGCCAACCATCCTATCCACCACACAAGCACTCACTAAACTGTGGAGAAAGTCGACGGGCTTCCTAGCAACCCAGGGCAGACAGGCAGACGGACAGACAGACAGACAGACATGTGAGTGTACAGGGAGACGCGTCGAGAAATAACCTCGAACTTTGTCATGTCCTCCTTGCAAAGGTATAGGGAAGTGACACGGGAGGCGCAATCATCCAACTATCTGACTGCGCCCTACTTCTCTGCTCCTCCCATTTCCTCGTGCTATCTGCACACCACACAACATAGCGCAAATGGAAGGATTAGCAAATGACCGATGTGATAGGGGAATATACCGTACGACATATGCACCTCAGGCGCTCTTGTTTAGAATTTAGGATAACAAGTCTAATGCTACCCTCACCCCAAGACCTTCTTGGGGGTAACACTTAACCTACCTAAGGCTGTGTTAATTTGAATTGTGTGGTCGGATATTGGTGTCATATGACCCGATGCATTGAGCATATGACATTTCTAGTCAAGCTGAAATGCCTTTTAATGAATACTTTCATTGCCATACATATTCAAGATAATTACATCTTTCCGGAACTACAGAAAGAAATACATAGAAGAGTGAGTGAATCGGATTACTGGTAATTCTGGTCATGCAAGGGGAAAAAGAAATGGAATATTTTGATTGATTATATTTAAGTGCATGAAGGAATAAAGTAAAATGAAAATCAGAAATGAAATCCGCAAATTATTTCCTAATTCCCTACTTATTGTTGCTATAGCGCTGCAATAGTGCTGGAAGCGCCAAGCGGTACTTTGAAATTTCAAGTTTCACCGCAACATTTGCTGTATGTTTAATTATCATTATCATTCTTCAGTTATTGCAAAAATTTTTTTATCATAATCCCATATTTATAATTGAAATGATTCTAGTCGTATACATAGTTCTGTAATCATAACTGTGATCAATAAGGTAAAATTATCAATCTATGAAGTGAATTTACAACGTTTCTGATTTAAATTAAATTTCTTGATACTGTCATAAGTTTCATTTGAAGTGATTTCTTTTTCTTGAAACTATATTTTACGTAAACTGCCATCTATTTTTGCTATTCCGAAAACATATTAGACAATCACAATGCTCAATATGTGAAGTACGCTTTCTACATTTTTTCACTTGTTTTTTGCACTGTAAATATTTCTAGACTTTTGTTACTTATTGGTCTTCTTGTCATTATTTTCGGTAAAACGGACTTTCCATTATTTAGATAAATTAAATTGGGATTTGGTTATACATTTAGCGTCATTGCCTATTAATATACCTAAAGCCTTGTCATAACCAATAAAATTCCTAAAAATGACATTCTTCTACGAATCTTTATCTTTCATATAAAGACTTCATATCTTTTTCTAAAATATATCCCACTGTACTTCAAATTTAAAATTAAATTAAAATGTACTGAGAATATATTGGACCCGGATATGCATTGTAAAACAACGAAAAGTTGATATTCCAAGTTACAAATTACAAATGGGGACATATTCCTCATTCACATCAACATCAATGTGCTTGAGTATTGTCTTTCTTCCGTCTTTTTTTGAAAATACAAAAAACAATCGATATAAAAGCAAACATAATGCGTTCATCACTTCTTGCCTTTTTCGCATTTGTTATCTGTTCTGCTATTATTAATAAATTCGTTTCAGGCATTTTATGACCTGCCACGTACAGCTCCGAGGGTTTCGCGTATCAGCTGACCATACTGCTGTTCCAGATACAACGATGAAAAACTCCAATGAAGGCGATTCTTTATTTGAAGGACGTTTCAGAGCAACACGTGTGGTCAGTTAATTTTGTCATCTAATCATCTTCAGAACAAATAAAAGGCTCAAAGTAAATGGAACCAATGAACTTACGCTTAGCAATAGTTTTTCATCCTCCATTTCTTTTTTTCATTTACTTATGACTGTTCTTAGACCCTTAATAAGTCTATAGTAAGATTGGAATTTTAAGGATTTTCCTAATCACTTTTCCGATTTCTTAATCGATTTCCTAAGGACTTAATCTGGCAATAGATTGAAACAAGCATGAGCTTTTTTTATCTGTGTACTCTAACAATCACTTTATGCCATACTATTTCTATTTGTATCTTGGCAGTTGGCATTCCACGCTATTTTATGTTTTTAGATCGAATTTCAAATTGTAAAAATTTCAAGATAAATAGTTGCTCTATACTTTGGAAGCTGTCATATAATAAAGCTTCGCTTCTTGTTCTCAGTGGAATGGTATGATAAAGCGCTTTCGAAGTGGAATGCCTGTAAAACGACATCGACGTCAACTGCGCATCTACGACGATTGTTTCACAGGTCGCGAGGCTGTAGACTTTATGATGAACGAGCTACCAAAATTTATTCATGACGGTCGAGAAATAACCAGGTGAGCTACTATTATCACCTTTTAACTGAGATCCGATGTTCAATCCTGAAGTAATGATCTTGTAAACAGTTGCGTCAACAGTGTCAGTTATGTTTGACAAAGAATGTTTTAATGGATGGACTTTGTTTGACACTCTAAAGTACATGTCCAAGACATGGAAAATTCCACTCATCCACTGAAAAAGGGTTTCATCATATCCACGTTTCAGATCCAATTGTTCAAAACTTTTGGGTATGTACTTAAGTATGGGATTGTTTTGTACTGTGCGTGGGAAATGGGATGATAGCGAAGTATTTAAAGAAAGCGAATTGTACCGGTAACTTTTCCAGTTTGTGTTTATATAAAGTTATTCGCAGGCAGTTTCTTTTTTGGACGAATAACTGAACTTTTTTAAAGATTTTCAAGCGTCTCTCCCGAACTGCTGGCTGCAACACCAATTTTAGTCCGCCGCGCCGCTTCATTCAATGAAAGATGTAGTTTCAAACAAAATCGGCTTAGGGATAGAGATTTTGGATTTACTGCTCTACAAAGGTAAGATGTTTCTTCTGTAAAATAATTAAAAAGTATAAAATTTAAGTTTGTCATAAGTTTTAAAGCAGAAGCCCACTAACTTCTTTGAAAAATGATTAAAATGATATTCAGAGAAGAACTGAATAGCTGATTTAATAATGAGAAAGGTTTCTTTTAGAGCCCATAACATTGGCTGGAAAAATAGAAACAATAATTCGATAGTACCAGCGCGAGTGCCTATCCTTGCAGTGCAGCCGAGTGCTCCTCTTTCCCGTCGTTTATCAGCATCCCACGGGAATCTGCCTTCTATGTTTAGCTCCCGGGCAAGTTTTAATATAAAAATTTTATCTCTATTTAAAAAAGCAGCGATTAAAATATCCGCTTTTTCAACTTGCTGAATTCGGCTCCTTCCTAATCTAAGGTTTTTCTAGAATTTGAACGATGAATTATCCAAAAGGTCAACCAGTAGAGTTATTCTGGAAGGGACCGTTTCGCAAGAGAAAATAAATGAAGTAACGATGGAAAATATTGAAGTTAGAGCAGGGACATCAAATCAGATTAATATACTAGACGAGATGATCGCTAAGTTAACCGAAGTCAACAGTAATTCAGCCGAATCTTCAGGAATGCAAAAGCTTCGAAATTTCGGGAAAATTATTCAGGTACTGTAAAGCTATAAATTTTCAGTAAATTCATTTAATGGTTATTTTTGTTGATTTACTAGTTATATAGTGATCAAAATGGAGTTAACTAAGTAAATTAATAATTAGTTGTTGGAGAGGAAAAAATTTTTATAGGCTCGGACTCCGGAGAGTTGCCCGCCTTCTGGATCTCCAGGAGCGGTTGTTAATGAGGAACATAGTGGTGCCCATCTGTTCCTTGATACCAGCGAAATCTATAAGAATGTTCTACTAAATCGGTAAGTTAATGTGACACATTACTCTTCTCAAAGAGCGATTTGTAAAAGTTCCTGTTGATTTCAGGTTGAGATCACTGCTGCAGGTAGATTCATTAAATGGGATTCTCGATTATGATTTTAACGGTGGAGATATTAGATGGAATTGCGAACGGGTCGGAACGAAAGGAATAGTTCGTGTTCAACCTGAGAATGGTAATGTTATATTTGAAGGACATAAAAGCTTTTTTTTTGAATTATAGCTATTGTAATGAATGCCCTAAGAATCAGTAGTTCTTTCGTTATTTGAAATATAAATAATTTATTGGAAGGGGAACTTATACTACCTTCAAGCAAACACTTCTTTGTATATTATACAAAGATGATGAACCATTTGGAAGTAAATAAATTAGATTAGTAATTTGAAGCTGAAAAAGTACGTGAAGACAATAAAAATGAATGAAAATTATGATTTTTATTGTTTTCCTACAGATTATCTAACAAATTATGTTATTACAATGATGCGTTATCTGTCGCGATGGCCATTCGATACAAAGTTTGCGGAATCTACGCATGTACCATACGAAGGATTCGAATTAAATGTTTTCAAAAGTGTTTGTGAACAGTTTGATAACGATTGTCCAATGCTTCCAAATCTTGTTGCATTGTCGATTCTACATATCATACAATTGTTTCGTCAGAAAAGTTTTCAACAGCGAAACTCAGGTAATTTCTTCAGGATGAAGTTTTGAAACTTCGAAACTAAATGCTCTTATTTTTGCTGCAAATAATTCGGCTTAATGAAGTGGTTTTACTCTTTCAAATCGATTTTTCTTTTCAGCAGAACTGCGTAAGGAAACAGTTTTTTGCGCTGACAGTTCACCATTTACACGTTACGTGCAGAAGACGGTTAATTCTCAGGTACAATATATTTTCTGCATTAGGATATTCAAAACACTGCAATGACCGGCAAAAAGATACAGTGGTTGAAACTATTTTTATAGAATCAAAGTAAACTAGATGGAAAAGATGAAAGTTCTAATTTGCGTACAACAGTATCGCCTAGCAAAGGATTTACTGGTGAAGAACATACTATGTCACCACCAAATACTATGCGCTCTTCCGTATCTACGTTGTCAGCAGACAGTGAAACTTTTTGTAAGTTGTACATTAGTTTTAGTAGATGTGTGAAAAGAACTGAATGTAAGCATAAAAGAATACAGAAGAAAATTTCAGGAGTTTTCTAAGGGGATTATATTCTTAGCGCTCGTGATAGTAGCTTTAATTACATAACGATGCCATATTAATACCAAGAGGATGTGAAAAATCCTTAAATATACCATTTTGTTTCCCGAAAAGACAAAATAATCGTAGGTCTAGATCAGACATTTTGAGATGGATGACATGCATTTAAACTTGATTTAATTATACTTGCAGTTAACATTTCATATCTGTTTGTCAAGATCTCTTTCAGCATATAAAATGGCCTATGAAGCAATTTTAACTCGGCTTCCGGGTCTGCAGCGAAGTCCTGAGCTTATGCAGCGTATTGAAGAACTGGCCAAAACAAACACTTTTGTGCCACGCTCAAGCACTCCTCGTATAGAATTTTGTGTACTGCTCGCTGGTTGGTTTTCTAGTCTTATTTTAATTAACGAATTCAAATGAATTAATATAAATACAAATATCCGAAATCCGATTTTAAAATTATCTAGACTTGAATATATATGTATTTGCTCAAACTATTACTTTATTTTGTATTATACATCCGGTTCGCTGAAAGTGTTCATTTTGCAAATATATTTAGACTTTTTAAAGAAAATTTACCAGGATATCAGAATATTTAGTGAAGGTGATTACATTGTTATAGGGGTCGATAGTGAAAATGAGAGATTGCTGAAAGAAGCGGTATCACTAGTCATGCTAACCTTGGAGCCACGTGTTCGTCGCCGACTACACTACTTGTTGCGCTTTATGCAACGTGTCAGCCGAAATTATTGTTTACGAATGGATAAACGTCGTGATAACCGTTCAATTGTAAGAATTGTAATCTGGAGAATTTTTACGAGTTTCAGGATAATATCGAAAATTTTATTTGTAACACGCAACATGTGCAACATTTCTGTAACGTCTCAGAACAGTTGTGGGAGGAAATGATGCTTTTCCCTTTGGTATTCGTTTTCATGCTAATTAGTATCGGTAGAGCAAAAAGATGGAGTAAAGAAAGTATTCTAGAAATTCATAAATATTTTTGAACTTCTGAATTTTGTTTTTTGTTGCCAGAAATGGTTGGGAAAACTAGAGTGGAATAAATTGTTGTCAAAAATGACTGGGAAATCTAGAAGAGAATTGCTTTCACATATTTTTTGTTATGATTAGCACTTTTTTCAGGTTCTTGAAAGTTTGCCGAACAAGATAGTACGTGCATCTCAAGCTATAAACGCGTCAGAATGCCATCAATTGGTCATATTTTTAATGGATAATGAATGTGATACGTTTTCCATCCCGGAAGCATTTATTTCAGAAGTCAAACATCAGCTGTCGTTACCACATGAGGTGGATTTTAATTCTAAGTTTTCATTAAAATGAAGACAGTCCTCGCTTTGAAGTAATTCTTTACACTCGTTTTGTTATAGCTTTTGCTGGAATCTATTATTTCAAAATCTTACCACAACTTGGAATTAAGACAGAAAAATGTCCACAAAAATATTTTTAGCGAAATTTCAGGTTGTCTTAAAGAAATCGCCAACTGTTCAACAGCCTATCACTGATGAATCATCAGGTACCGAACGTTTGAAGGAACACTTCTGCGAACCAATCAAAATAGAAGAATACGAATCACAAAAGAAGGATGTTGATAGTTATTTACTCTCTCTCTTGGATGGCATATTGAGCGATGAAAATCTTTCAGTTGCAGATCGGAAGCAGCGACTTAAAAAGGTTAATACAGGAACGGCTAAGTTCAAATTGAAAAATTACTTTCCTTCCTTTATTAAACTATTTTTGCAGTTCAAAAAGACTTATCCAGAGATTTACGCACAGAAATACCCGTCTCCTGAATTGCCGAAAACTCGATTCATCGATCGAATTAGAAATTTTCACTTCTAAGTTGAGCTGTTAGCATTTAATTTACGCAACAAGAAATAAGCCGTGAAATCAATCACTAAGAAATAGTAAAGTGGAATATGGATATCTTGCTCACTGGATTGTGATTGGAACATGTTACTTTCTACTGATGAATTAAATATTACTAGCAAAAAGTGTAAGAAGTTTCATTATGAGTGTAGTGATTTCATTTGTAATTTAACGTTCTTCTGGAAATACTTGCATGTGATTTAAGCAAAGCGTTAAAAAAATATGCCAAAATATAAAATATTTGAATAGAAAAAAATATATCAAAATATAAAATATTCTTTTTTTTTTGTTCATTGTGTGAGTAAATATAACTGATGTGTGAATGAATCCCGTTAGTCTGGAGTGATTATTAATTGATATCTTGGGGCAGCATCCACAGAGCGATATTAACCTGCTTTGGAAGTGATTCAGTTTCTAACAACGCCATCCGACGTTAGATCTAGCTTTCAATTAAATAACGAGAACGCGCTTTTTTTCCATTCTTCAACTTCGCATTGGCTTAATACCACAAAAGGATTTTACCAGTAAAATTTATAAAGCTCCAAAACAAAAGATACAAAAAGTTTTCAACTCCAAACAACGGTGGAATTTATGACAGTTTGAAGAAATAGTAACAATAAGAATTAACTTGAAACAGCTGGAATAACTGGCAGCTCCTTTAACTTCCGGTTCACCTGTAATACTAATTTGGTTAAGAATGAGCGAGATTTTGAGAAAGAAGAAAAAGAGGAAAACAATTCATTTTAAGAAATAGAAAACACGTTTACCTCTTGCAACTTCTGTATTTGTTTGATGAAATATTCCCCAATTCGGCGAGCAACTTTTGTGTCCGCAATAATGATCATATCCTGAAGTATGAATGGGCTGAACAAAAAGAACAATTTCGGTGAATAAAATTCACAGCTTAATACGATTAAATAATTCTGCAAACATAAGAAGAAACAAAGCTGGACCTTGTCAACATAGAAGTCAAGATCTGTTGTTGAGTCGTCGATTTCACATCTATCCATACATTCCTTTCCCAGTTCATTGACGATCATTTTGAAACTCAATAATTTGCCAACAAATGAGTCATAATCCGCATCTGCAAATAACTGATAACTTCTGATAATTTCGATTCATTTCAATTCTGGATTGGTCAAGTTCATTTATTTACTTGTAAATATGAATATGAACAATGAAAAAAAAAGTGACAAAAACTTACCGCTAACATCCATGAAGCTTGCAAGCTTTCTTGTTGGCAAAGTTGTATACAATTTTAAATAGCCCCGCAAAATTGGCAACATAATTTGTGATTCAATTTCTTCTAGAAAAGCATTACACTGACGGAGCAGCGGTTCCTAAAAATACAGAAGTCAGAATACCATAAATGCCAACACGCTATAATTTAATATCAAAACTACTAACAAGTTAAACGTTAATTACTGGAAATATTGTAAAGATATCGTGGTTAGTAAGTGAAAGAAACATTGTCGGATTTACAAATCGGTTAGTATGAAAATTACCTTTGCCTGATTTGGACCTTCGTAAACTACTGTGGTAGGAGATAAGAACTTCGGGCATCCTTGCTGGAAAGCAAGGCGGAACTCATCAATGTTACTGAAAAAGAAAATTACTATCCTTTCATGCATTAATAAGTCGTATGGATCATTTGCTGCTATCGTAATGTACAAAAATAATTTTTTTCCTAATGTCAAGATAACATTTGTTTCAAAAGAAAAAAAGAAAAAAACCAATTTAGATTTTTCCGGGTGGTCTACAAAATACTTAAACAAACTGAATTGTTAATTAACTATCGAGCTCGAGTTATAATTACTTTTTATTTAACTGACCCATTACTCATATGGTTCATACGTTCTCCAGTCCTTTCATATAGTTGCGACTGGATGGAATCATCAATCCGTTGAGGTTGTAGAGTCAAACAAATAGCCAACAAATGATATAACTGTTCGTTCGTTTTCCCAATCTATGAGCTCGGAATAATAACGACGTAAACTTATGAACAAAAGAAAGTTTTCGACATAAAAATCTGGAAGTATAGTGCACCATGGCTAACACTAAATACAATGTATGAGTTGATGTCATTTCTACACTTTTTTTGCTTTTTGAAAAAAGTACACGAAGGAAAGTAAATGTAACAGGTAGATGAATCAACCTACCTACAAGATATTTAACGTAGTGAACAGAGGTGATAGTTATTTTAACAAGCACTAGCTACTTACTACGTCATATTGAAAATTCTTCTTCTGCTGTTGATTCTGTTGTTGAACACTTTTTGTTCGTTGTATGTAAAGTAAACAGTTTACGAATATCTTCGTGGCTTCACCATAATTTCGCATCATCATATGAGAGAAGCCAACGAAATAATGAAATGTAACCAAACATGAAGGGACGGTATTGTATAAACCCTACAAAAAAAAATCGGATCAAATATTCTAAATCATCAGGAAAAAATCAACAATTGGAAATGAAAAATATATAGTACAGAAAATCGCACATAAAATTGTAACTCAACCACAAGAGTTCAACTTATTTAAATGCTCTGCTATAAGTACAGCAACTCTATACCGCCCTACGAACCGATATCAGAACATATAGCATATCGAAATTTGAAATGACGTCTGACACTTCAACAGGTTTCTTCATTATCAAATGGTAGAGATAAAATTAATGGGAAGATAGAAGTAGGATAAAAAATAAATAGCTCCCCACCCATATTTAAGAATGTGGTTTCAAAAATTACGTCCAACCTCAATTAAAATGCAATAAAATTGTCACATAAAAAACGAAAATAAATGAAAAATATTTTTCGTGATTAAACCTTAGGATCAAGTTCAAGATTTTCAACAGTCTTCAGCGCTTGATGATAATCCCCAAGCAACACATGTGTACGAAGCAATCCAATTAAGGAGAAATAACCAAGCTTAAAATACAAAGCAGAACGGCCAAAATCATCCGCGACATCGTCTGGGTTTCCTGAATAATTTATAATGACCAATTAAATTTCGACTGGATTTTCCATAATGAATACTCAAATTTCACTGGACTCAGGAATGTGATCTGTTCAGAAACATTTTTAAAAACAAGAAAAAAAAAACTTTCGCAGCTTCTGCAATCTACACCGCACTGTATCACGATTCAAAGTGATGGTCAGTACCTTCAGTTATACCATCCACTACTGTTTGACACCAGTATTAATAACAATAGAAAACTATATATCACAAGTATTGAATTGATTAAAATTACTTACTTCCCTCCCGTATGGCCAGCAATTGCTCGTCGATCTGCGACTTTGCCAACAAAGAGTACAGAATATTCAACACCGGATATATATTCCAGGCCTGCAATGTGATCAGTAGACTAAATAATACAAGCTTTGCTAAGTACCGTATATATATATATATATATATATATATATATATATATATAAAGACATACGCTCTGGTTCTGCTCAATTGAAAGAAGGTCTTCATATTCTTCTGGGCTTCTTTTTCCAGGATTCGCTTTGTATAGACAAAAAGCTTGGAACTGCAAAATTAGAAGTGTAAACAGCGATTTTGACAATTCTAACAATAGCTGTTTCGCCATTATGTTTGTAAGATAACAGGTCTCTAGAAGCAGTCATGACTTTAATTACAATCTTCCACTTTTAACTATTCAAATAATAGTTAAAAGTGCTTATTCAAATAATAAGTATTTCTGTTCAGTAAATGAGGGCCCACGTACTTATTGGTGTTTAAAATAAGCAATTACAAGTAAATAAGTACAAAATAGACAAGCAACTAAGCAGGAAGTAATTATTACCTGGTAAACAAATTCGTCGATAATATCCCAAAGCCAAACATTTGGCAACTGAAGTGATAATGGCTGTTTCTCAGGTGTCAATACCTCACAAAATAATTCCTGCAGTGAAAACTTTGATATCTGATTAAAACTAGAATCTTTGTTTGGATCCTGTGCGCATAAGGCACTTTCCATAACTAACCTGGTAATTTTGATATGAATCGAAACGATGAGCTAAAGACGGACCACGCTGCATCCGAGTGTAAACGTGACGAAAGTACAGCTCCTTGTAAAGAATTATGAAGATTCGACTGTCTGAAAAAGCAACAATTCTGTTTCTGTAATTCGAAAACAGAAAGATTAAGATTTTATCATATAATGACTGAAGACCTCTGTAATATCAAGATTTTTGAGATACCTTGTTTTTAAAAGGACAAAAAGAGAACAATAACGAACCCGACCCAACAATATTTTCCACTGCTTCTTCGTTTGGCCAGAGACGTTGCTGGAAATAACGCTCAGTAAGGTCCGGGAAGCCGTGTTCATAAAGATTATGTATTTCGACAACATTTTCTTCATCAATCATTCGCTTGAAATAAATCAAGTATTGTGCAACATCATCTGGTACCACTTCATCACTCATAGTATCTAAAATCAAATAAAAACTAAATTTAACGCCACATATATTCACAGAAATAAATATAGCATCCGGAATACCCATTTATGTTATGTGGCTTACATATATCCGCCTTCATTGACGGGCTAGCCTTCAAATAATTTTAATATTAGAAACGGTTATCGAAGATTTAACAACTTTTACTGCTTAGAAAAAGTAGATTCCAAATTCCACATATGAACACATCTTATTAATCTAAAAAGCCATTTCAGTTGCAGTACCTGCATTAGGTGTTTCATAACTTTTTTTTTAATGTAAGATGGTGGATTAAATTCTGAAAGTTAGAAAAATCTATCCACCACCTCACTTACAAAAAAACTCTATCTGTTTATTTATTTCCTCATCTTACCATCATTTAGCACAGCTCTGTGAATTCTCTGTAACCAAATTCTATTAGTGTTAAACAAACCTCGTCGCACATGCTCCCTTTCATAAGCAAGGTCACGTTCTGGATCACCTGTATGTCCACCATCAAATGAATCGCGCACCATCTACAATGGCAAATATTTCAACCATCCTCTTTCTTCACAATAATCCGGCTAAGATAAAATGTAACATACGTAAACAACAAAAAGCAAAATCTATATCCAACTTCATACTAGTCAATAAGGTAACCAGAGTGCTCAATTTAAAAAGCAAAAAAAAAAAAAGACTTGTGACACTTTTAAAACCCAATAATTTTTATAAACCATATTAAACAAAATAAATTTCAGAAAAAAGACCAATCAGAAAAATATTTCACGACTTTTTTATAAAAATCCTTTTATTACAGATGATAACTGTTACAACAAAAAGGCAGCTGCATTCTATCGACCGGCAGGGCTTGTTCACGCTTATCATTACGGTAAGTGGAACTATAATGACCCATAGGACTGCTTAGCGACCGAAAATAAATAACTGTATGTCAAAAACTGATATACATTGAACGAATCAGAAAGGAAATATCAGAGACAGTGAATTACATCCACATAAATAAAACAAGAATTTTCATTAAAAAATTGATGACAATAACTTAACCAAAGAAATAGCAAGTGATAGTTTTACTACAATTTGATCCATAAAATGTTTAATTTAAGAACGCAAATAGAACAACCGTTAAATATCATCCTTTGGCCAGTAAAAAAATAGAACTAACTAACTTGCTATATTATTTTCCGATAGGTAATAGCAAATTTCTAGTCCACCATATCCTATTCTCATTTCCGATAGAATACATGTAATCCTACTTCATAATATACATAACATTGAAGTAATATTCAACAATTACGTCTGCAGAATCCGATTTCATTTCTGTAAAAATTGGAATATATTATTCCCCAATAATTTAAAAAATATGTAAATTTTAGCATATCTATAACAGCCATAGGATAAAACAACCGATATATCAACTGCAATTTTTCAGTATCATTTATGAAATCAAATAGATGAAAATTAAACAGAACTAGTTATCAGCTTTGCTACAATACAACAATAAATAACATTAGTCGCTATCGATAACCACATAATGATTGCACTATTATTTATATCGCGCATACTACTTACCATTGCTATTAGGAAATGAGGAATGAATTATAAAACTATGAAATTTTGTGAAATGAAGGCAATTCGGTACATCTGCAGAAGAAATTGTCTGGCGCTAAAAACAAAGAGGAATAGCACATTCTGAGTATGCAACGTTCCTTTCAAATCACAGTAGCTTCAGCTGAAAAGATTTTCAGTTATTTTCAATATTTTTTCAGTTTCAAACAGTTTAATTGTTGGTAACATTTGCAACACCTCGTTGAATACTTGAGCAATCATCTTAAATTATCACTGGAATCATTATGAAAAATGTCGCACAAATGAAAATCACTAGAATTATGCAAGAACTTTTAAAAAAAAATACTAGAACCTTCCCGCGAAAAATTTCAAATCAGTTAAAATTCCGTTTCTAACTGGTGAGTACCAAATCAGCAAATTCACAAATAAATGAATCATGAGAGTGAAGCAATATGCAATATTAAAAAATAAATTAGAATAACGAGGAAGGATGGCTACTGCTTCAAACCAGAACTGAAAGAACTGATAGCCACATACAGACGAAGTAGTATGTAGGCACTAGCCTTGCACAACCACACCGGAATCTTCTTTTCCACGCATTCGCGGTTTTCCCGTAGTGAACGGTATGTAGCGGTATTTTATCATATGCTGAAATTGAACCTAACCACTGAATTTTTCAATTGCGTACAAAAAAGTATCATAAAATAACAAAATAATAACGCGTCACATCACTAGGGATCCGAATAGGTAGTTTGATTCATTTTGCAGATGCAGAAAGTATTCCATTTCAAAACTTTTAACAATATGCAAAATAAGCACTTCATTTACAAAGTAAAACTGTACCATAATTTGTCGTTTCATAGTCAGACAAGTTAAGACGATGAAATACATAACGAGTATAGGCCAAAAAACTGGGACATTGAATATCTCAAAAAATGTGCATATAAACGCAATGGTTGTTGCTTTAATAGCTGAATACCTGAAAGATGATCCTACTTTCCTGGAAGTGGGCAGCTTTTCTTAGGACGAAGCAGTAATGATTTCCTGATAAGTTTGTTGAAACATACATCATTTAACTGCAGAATATTTCTGTACACGATCCTTAAAGCCTAGTCTCGGCAAATATTTTACAATTTCTGTGATATTCTCTCCGCTACAAAGAGTGTGTAAGCAAAAGTTATATGTTAAAAAAGCTTCACACTTACCAAAATTTAAATTCTGGCAAACGTCTCATAAATGGACGGAATTCTTCACTTCCCTTGGACGGCAAAGTTGGTCCATCTTCATCTAGAATAATATATTTAGAATAATTTGAAAAAATGTTCTTACCTACCTTCGCTTCTCCGATGGAAGCTACAATGGATGATTTTAAAGCTACAGATGTTTGGAAAATGATTTGCAAGGACTAGTAAAAAAAGATAGAGGGCATACACAATAGATCAGAAAGAAGGCTCGGAAAAACTTATATTTCACCAAACAGTTACACTGTACTGCTACCCAGTATTTGAACGTCGCTTCTAGAAATGAATAAGAGAAAATTTTATCACCTTCGCTTTCAAAATCAAGTGCTGGATCAATTTTCGGTGTCAGAAACGCAAGGAACAAATTTAAATAATAAATTCCGAGAGCATAAGTAACAATGTAGAAACCCTGAAAGTGGCAAGATGCCAAAAAAGAAATTTTAAGAGTCATAGCACTTCACTAGAATATGAAAACTGATAACCAATAAAGAAAAATGCCGCTGTCAAGCTATCTACTTACAAAACCGTGCATTTCTACTTACATCCTGATGTAGCCACTGTTAGCCGTAATGCAAAAGTTTGATAAAGAATAAAAATGCCATACTTGTAGTTCGATGATTCGCCAAAGAAAAAGGATGACGAAAGCAACAGCGATTCCCCACCGAATCAAACTATATGGTGTTAACTTATCCAAGTAATACTGATATTTCTGCAAAGTACAGATAATCCTACAAATTGTACAGCTTTTCCAAATATTCGAAACTTGACGTAATTCTTCTTTGTTTTTTTGGTCGAGGCATTTTGTCTGATGTAAAAGAAGCAGCAAACAATGAGCGTTAAAGTATGTTTGGGAATGTTTCATTGATTTTAAGTATCAACAGTACAGTTCTTGTAGTGTGGACAACCATCTCGATCATTTCAAGTAATTCTAAGATGGATTATTTTAATCCTCAAAAAACTATCTTCAGTCCAGAAATGGCTACATTCAAAAACACAGTCGAATGAAATAGTATAAACTGAAGGCACTACAATCATGGTGCTAGAGAAATAATTTAAGCAAATTTTAAATTTCATAATAAAAGTATGAGAAAGACAACGAAAAACGAACCACAGACAGACTTGAGAAAAAACGTGACACAATACTTGGCCGATCACGGAGGTCACTAGAATCCTCCATTAAATCAGCGAGTCTGGATGTATTCCCTGAAATATAAATGCACCCTTAACTATACATACTGTAGTCCAACCTTACAATGTTATATTATATGGAATAATGGTAGAATATCGAATATATACTTCCTTAAATGACGATTTCTTTTCTTTATCTCACCTCTATCATTTTAAAAAGATCTAAAAAAAGAAAAGAACTACAAATCAAAATAAGTCAAGTTACATAGAAATACCACAATGCATTGGAATGGTAAGTTTGTCTTCATAGCAAAAGATGTAGGAATATCTCAAATTCAATTTGAAAAAGTACTAATCAGGTCGCTGTTAATGTTCTACTACAGAAGTATTTTTACGATCCACGTATTTGCGATGATGACGTGTCGTGACGAAAACATTAGAATATCAATTAAATACTAAAATACATTACTATTTAAGCCAATTACTAATAATAACGGAATAGAAAAATGGACGATTACTGTTTCCACTGCTAAAGTACGTCACTTCCCAAAGTTTTTAGGCGTAAATTAATTTTCGCATTTCAACTCCTAACCCAAGCTTACATATTTTTCAATTAGCTGGAAATAAATTACCGCTAGTTTGAGTAGCTAACTATTAACCACACCGAACATTGGCACTGCAATTATCATAAATGTTCATTCTATCAAAATAGAAATTTCAAATACTTAAATCCAAATCATTCAACACTTTCTCTTCTTACGAGAGAATGAAATTGACGTGTACTACAATTGTTGTCATTACCGTAAGATAGTTTCCAGTTCAAGTATATTTTTTATTTGTTTGCAAAAAAGTACCACCATTTTACTAGTTATTCGTGAACGACTGGAGTGTTTTTCGGGCAAACCATTAATTGAACTTGTAATTATTTTTTAAAAGATTTTATTTTCAAGTGCTAATGACTAATACGATATCAACAGAAAATGATTTTGAGCCAGCATACATTGGATATTTTTTCATCTTGTTTTCTGGATTGACTGCTTTTGTTATTGCATTATTTGTATGGATAAGATGGGACACCGACAGGAAAGGAAGAAATGGAAGACAAGGTTATTTATTTTGTTTAAAAATTTTGATCATTAAAAGTTATTATGTTTTAATTGTCCTTTGCACTGCTATTAATTGTTTAAAAAATTAAAGCTGATAATCAAAAATTGGCACTATTAGTCATTTATTAGTACCGTTTTTCCTTGTCATTAATTAGACTTTCTATAGTAATGGTCATCAACACTCATACACTTTTAAATAATTTCATTCACAGTAATTATACGTGTGGATTTCCAGAGTAAGACTGGCAAAATTAGATAATATATTTGGACCAAAGCTTTTATTAGTGAAGATTGCTTTATGCTTGTTTCAATTTTATATAAAATTAGATTTTCAGATATCTGACGATCATGCGGATGCATCCATTTATAAGTTAATCTTAGTAAAATTAAGGAAAGTGGTTTTTTTTATTTTTAGATTCGACGGACTCAGAGCAAAATATAGAAGATGAAAATCCGAATGCAGAAAATAAAATTAATTCTTTTTCGAAAGATGCAAAAAAACAAGGAAAATGGAAATTTGACAAGGTATACTATGTATAACTTTGATTATCTCATGTTTAAAAAAATTGGCGCAAAAAAAAAATAAGTTGAAGTCGGAAGTTATTGAGTCAGGACTATCATGCTCTTACAAATGTTTTCTCAATTTATTTAAATTCTAAATATTTTTGTTTTCAGATGCGAACACCACAATTTGAACATCCATGGCTTTTAACTACACTGAAAGGACATGTGAAAGATGTCTTGGACTTGGATTTTTCTTCAAATGGCAGATATGTTGCATCAGTTAGCTCCGATCGTTCACTTTATCTCTGGAATGTTAAAGCAAGCATTATTTGACGTGTTATTTTGATCTTTAATATGTGGCTATTTAGTTATGTCTATGAGCAATAATTTTGAACTAAATAAATTGACATTTATTTGTAAGGGTAAAAGATAGACATAAATGTTCTTTACTCTCGTATAATTATAAAAAGGAAAAAAAAAAACACATGTTTGAAATTGATTGAGAGTTTCGTCAACCTGACAAAATTTATTTTTGAAAAAAAGTTCCAGACACTTGAAGATTAGGATAGAAGTAGGTAAATTTAAACTAACGGCAACAGTTTAGAAACATTTACTCAGGAAAACTCTTGGACCGATGTCATAACTAAGATATTACTTAACTTTGATTAAAATCTTGAACTTAACATTTTAACTCAAGTATTTTTTAGGATTTCAGTGAGCGGGACCATAAGATGCATCGTTGCACTGTTGAATTGGATAATGCAAATCACATAATCTTTGCACCTGATTCAAAATATGTCCTTATGAGTCTGCGAAGTGCTAACAAGGTTTTCAATTCTCTCTTCAGGCGGTAACAAATGTTTAGCAGTTTGAATTATAATTTGGTTTTTTTTCAGTTGGATGTTTACAAAATGACAAAGAAGGAAGGCACACAAAATTATAAGTTTTCACGTGTTGAAAGTATTGAATTTCCGGTTGTTCATGCTGAAGATATTAACAATATAGGAATTGCCTGTAATGGTAAATATAAATATGTTATAGTTCTAGTTTGAAATATGCAAAAAAAAAAAAAAGATTTGAGTATAAGGCATATGCAAATAATATGAAATATAAACAAATAGTAGTTTAAAATAAGCCTGACGTTCAACATCGTAAATGGGTCCAACAAGTATAAGTACTGGTAAAAGAAGTAAGTTTAAATAATTTTAAGCACAAGTAAAAGATGAATTATTGTAGATGAGTGTTAGCACATTTTCTATTCAATCCGTGCTTTACCCATGTCTATTTACCTCATTTTCCGCTTTTAATTAAACTGCTGTGAATCAATGTCTTTGTTCGAATTCTGCACTTTCTCTTTATAATCGGAAAATTTCGTTTCCTAAAAAGCTGATATTAGTCAATCTAGAACCGTTTTTTTTTTTTTTTTTTTAATTCAGGAATATTTTATGATAATTTTTTTTTTCAGGAAAATTTGTGATGTCAGCATCAGCCGACAACCAACTCGTGATATATAGCCTTCATGGCGATGTTCTCAAAAAAATTGAACTAAAATTGAACATTCTGTACAACGCATGCATCTCGCCGTGTGGTCGGTTTGTTGGTGCAAGTGGTTTTACACCGGATGTCCTTGTTTTTGAAGTTCGTTAGTACGAAATTTAATTTTTTTTTTCTTTTGTTTGCTGAGAAATTCGAGTTCGTAAGTTCTATATTTCAAAAAATTTTTCCAGGTATTATTTGATCGTCAAGGAAACTTCCAAGATATTAAAAAAGCTTTTGAACTAAAGGTACGAATTTGATTTTGTATTTTGTATTGTGGAACTTACAGAATCAATGTTTTTATCAGTAGTGTTCTACAGACTACTTCAGATACTTAAGAAAAGAAAGTATTTTACAATCATTTTTTTATTATTAATCGGAAGCGGTAATAGGCATGAATATATAAAGTGATGATTGCATGAATAAACATTCTCCTGATTAGCGATAGGAATATGCGGACAACTTTTTTATTGTGACAAACATTGAAAAGGTCAATTCTGCCTCTTTGATTCTTTTCTTCTTAGTATTAAACTTGGGTATTAAACCTTTGTTCGAATAAAATGGTTAATACAATAACGAACTCCACAACTAGAAGCTCAGTAAAATAGCGGGAATCAACCAATCAACCCAATAATCCAAATAGATTTTTTGTATGAATGAATTTGGTGCGTACAATCGTATGTTTTATCGAATGGAAGAGCACAGTCTTGTTATAAGATCTTAAGAATAGCGTTTTCATGGCATGCACATTATTGTAACGGTTCCTGTTAGTGCAGTGTAAAACGATGAAGTATATAACATGATGTATAATTAAACGAAAGACGATATCTGGCTTTCAAGAAAGGAGGACTTGCGATATCAGTGATAGCAGTGTGTCATTTTAGTAATTTTAGATTTAGATACTTTAGAATTGATATGTTAAATTTTCAACGACATACATTTCTAGGGTCATAGTTCTGGTATTTACTCGTTTGCTTTCAATCAGAATTCAACACTATGTGTCACAGCATCTAAGGATGGGACATGGAAAGTCTACAATACCGATGTGCGTTATTCACAAGGCGAAGAAACTAAGATTATTGCCAGGTCTGCGAAGCATTTAATGCCATTTCCTTACATAATTTATCATCGAAATAAGTCTAATATTTGCAGTGGTGAATTTGAAGTGCTGAAGAATGCTCGTCCCGAATCAGTCAAAGTAGTGATGAGTCCATCGGGGAATAGTTTTGTTATATCAGCTAGTCGTCATATACGATTGTATAGCACTTTACAACCTCAGAAAGAATTTAAAATGAGTACGTTTGCAAAGTATTATATGTAATATGTTAGCTATAAATATTTCATATAATTTAGTAATATTCTATCTATATTGGATTTTTTTTTCAATAAATGGACATAAAAATATCGAAAATTTTAAGTATTTAATAAGATTAAACAAATAGAATAAAATGATATCGTAGAGTGTAATATGTTAGGAATTAGAATAGAATAAAACTGTATAATATAACAAATTCTATAAATTACAACTTAGCATTTCATATGGTAGTTATATGTCTTCATTTCTTTAAATTATTCTATTTAGTTCTGGATGCACACGACAAGCCAATAAGTGGCCTACGGTTGAGTTCATGCGGGAAAATGATAGCAAGTTGCGGCGATCGATACATTAGAATATTTCATAATGTTGCAGAATTTTATAGTAATGTAGTTTCGCTAGAAAAAACTATACAAGAAACTCGTGAAGATAGCAGAAGACGACGTCTTGAGGAGCAGCTACATGAAGCCAAGCAAACACTTAGTCATTTTTCATTTTCTTAGTTTTAGATTTAAAGACACAAAGTAGTCAACAAAGTAAGTGGTGGCTTTTTGTTGCAATACAGTGGAACTATACAAGCTTTTTTATTCTTGATAACAAATTTTATAGAAGTGAAAATTTCTTCAAATTTTCTTTATTTATTCAAACATAGTTGAGATTTACAGTTGTTCGTTGTTTGTTGTGGTTGAGATTTGTATTTTATCGTTTTGTTGATATGTTTATAATTAGGTTGTCAAACCTTAGCTTCCTATCGTATTCTCAAAGTTCAATTTAGGATGCCTTATTACTACTACATTTCCTTCATTTAGTATGGATTGAAATATTTCTACAGAAGTTGAGAGATGTATTTACTGAAAAGTCGAAACGATACAAAAGAAGTATCATAGTTAACTGGATTATTAAAATACTATAAAATGCTAGTCATTATTCTAAGTGAATATAGATAATCGTGGTCTTATATGCAATTGTGGAACTATACCTAATTCGTAAATTGAAATGAGTTAGGTGAATCTGAAATGAATTGCTGTTTTAAGACTTAAATTTTTGGGAAGTTTAGCATTATATTACTTTTTAGTTGCCTTTTTAAAAAAAAAAAATAAAATGCAGATTAGCCACTACCCTAAATAGTAATAATATAGATAATCGTGGTCTCTAAATAGCATCTTTTTTGCTGGTTTATATGGCTCATTGTTCTATTTCACTGTTGTAAACCATCGCATCTTCAAAGTTGTTTTATTCTAGGTATCACATTTTTACTCAAGTTAATGTTATCCCCATTGATTTTCTTTGAATTTAATTTATTTCAGTTGTGTATAACTGATGTTGTAATGAATTATTGTATTCATTTTGTGATACGTTATTACGTATTAGGAAAGAAATATATAAAGCAATTAAAATCCGAATAATTTTTTCCGGGAAGGAAATCATTTTTTGTTTTTTATATTCACACTCTCATTAAATTCAAAATTTCAATTGATTAATCGAAATCCATCCTGAAAAGCGATGAGTCTTTCTTATTTCTATCGTGTAAAATACTTTTGTTGAAGTTATGATAAGGAGCAAATTGGTATGAGTACTGGTGAATTTTCTTTGCTGGTTTCATTTTTTTGACAATTATTTGGTGATCAATCAGAATTCAATTCGATCGAAATAACTATCAACGCAAGACTGCTTTTAGTAATAATTGAAAAATGAAAGATCCCACAGGTTCCTTCGGCTTGTGTTTTAGGCTAGGAAAGCTTTAAGAATTCATAATGATTCGATTAATTGTTCAATACTGTTCCTTATCCTGTTGCCTTATTATACCTTATTACTGATTCAGTAATTGTATTCAGTAATCTAATTCAGCACAAAGAGCAAGCAGACCAAAATACCATCATTCAAGCTAAGCTTTCCTTATAAAATTCATAATAGGATTCTTTCTATTTAATAATTTATATTCTATCACTGATGGATTAATGTATCAGTGCCTACAATATCCTCTTTATCATCTGAATTTCATCATACTATTGAGATAATATTTGATAAAAATGCTCTATTACAAATGCAATACGTCTTCCGATGATGAGGCGTAATGATGAGAATCTTTTGAAAAAAAAGCCATTAATTAATTCATTTTTAATTTTTTTTTTTTTTTTAGTAAATTTGATAATCATTTTCATATAGTGCATCCACAAAATATTGGGCCTTTCGCTAGAAAGTTTTTGATGGAACAAAAAAGAAATATTAAATTTGAGATTGAAACCCGAACTTAATATTAGCCTGGAACGGATTCGTTAGCAATAATCCAATATAAAAAACTGAAAATTATATGAAATTTACTCTTAAATGAACTACGTCCTACAATATCTTACACAGTAGATGGACTTACATAATTTCAATCAAAGCAAAAAAAGAATATATAATTCCAAGCAAACTTTTCAAGCTTGAAAGCCTTTAAAGGTGCAGGCTTTTTTTAAAAAACTAAGGCTAAGTATATTGGTAAACGATGTTGCTAGTATGGCAGTTTTTTGTAATAATTTTTGTAAAAATAAATATTTGTAATAATAGTATTGGTAGTATCGATTTGGTAGTTTACAATAATAATATGTGACACAGAATCAAATATAAATTTTAATTAACCATTTGTATTAGGAATTTCTATTATTAGTGAATGATTTCAGCTTTAAATTATTAATTCATTTTCAATTTTTTTTTTTTTTTTTTTTTTTGTTTTTCTTTTTGCAGGTTATACATTCTCACCACTTTAAGAGGCTATGCATTGTTAACAGTCTAAGAAAGGATTGTGTTTTGGAAAGAAAAAGATTAGATTGAATAGAAATTCAATAAATCAGAAATGTCTAAAATTCAATCTTAATCAAAGTATTTGATAACTGATAAACTAATCCTCGACTTCAATACTGTAATTTTAGGTAGTAATTCTGTTCAGACAGAGTAATTCAGCTGGCAATTAAACTTATTCAACGCATAAATAATTGATTGCTATTGTTACTTTACAACTCATTTACAATCTCAATAAAAAAAACGAAATTGATAAAATTATAAATTGAGAATATTGATCAATTAACATTTCTAATTTAATTTTAGAATTATCCTCAAAGGTAACATTCTATTGTAATTCGCAATTTGAATTAAATTTTACGCTCACAGAATACGCGCTTTAATTTAAATTTTCAATAAGCTGAAATATTGTTAAATATGGAACTGTAAGAGAAAAATTATTGATGCCAATAGAAAAAAATGAGCAAAGAGTGACTAAGTTATGTGTTATTCTTGACAATTTGCACTTACAGTATATTTTGATAGTGCTATCATCGACTATGTAAGCTATACTTGGTCAACCGATGAAATTACGGTCACATTTTTCAACTTAAGTCTGATCGATTACTAATGTTTTTTCTTGGGAAATCAGAAGTAAAAAAAAGCATTAGAATTAATGTATGAGCGGTGATGTCTTATTTCGATAAGTTGTTGCTTTTTGTCCCAACTGTTTACTTTGTAGCTGCTTTTCTGAAGACTTGGCCACTATTGGCAACGTCACAGGAAGATTATCTACTGTAACATTAGCCATTTCTACTCTCATATTAGCAAGTAAAACTTTCGTTCCACTTCTTTTAAGGTAAACATTTAGGGAAGCGCATATTCCACAAATAGGTGTGTTTTTGGCATATTGTTTCACCATCGGTGCATTAAATCCTCCAAACGGTCGGAAATCAGCAAATGTTGGTGGTGTAGCATCGTTTAAACTTGAACCCAACAAATTCCAATACCTGAAAACAGCGATTAGGAATATCAATCACTAATATTACCACTAATAAAATTCACTTCTTTTAAATTCAAAAATTACCAAAGACGAATTTGTCGTTGATTGGGTGTTATTTGTCCAGCTATTATCTGTTCCCAATCATACCAATTAGTATAAATACCTACCAATAAACCATGTTTCTATAAGTAAATCCTATTAAAAGGAGTTTTAATTTACTATCAATTAATCTAGAACACCATCCATAGTAATTATCAAATGTTGAGAAATCGATAAAAAAGTGAAAATTTTTAGCTAACATAAAAAATAAATAAATATAAATAAGCAATGGAAACAATCATGTAATGCATACCCATGCACAAAGAATAAATTTATTGATAAAATCAGTATTAGCAGTTTGATTATTAGGCCAATTGATTGGTGATGTTATCTGAAATCAACAAAATTTAAGATAAAATAATAAAATTAACTTCTTAAGAATTTTTTTCTTTTTTAAAGAGGGAATAAGAAGTGATCGAACTGAATAAAAGTATACCTTAATCCAAATGGTTCTTACAGCAATACCTTTCTTTGTCAGGAAAGTGTACGCTTCCATAAATTGCTCACTTCCGGATTTTGTTCCACGAGGTTGCGGTTCCACATAAATTTCAGTACCCATTCCTTCTGCAATGCAGTATATTTTCATATCATATTATTTTTAGCAAAAAATGATAACATATTAGATCAGTTGCTGTGTCAGAAAAACCGAATTATAATATAGCGAAATAAATTTATGTTAAGTGAATGATTGTCCATAAACAATAAAAACCTATTTCAATTTTATATCTCAAATACGAAATCATTTATCCAGCTTTCGACCATACCTGAGCTTGCCTATCTGCATTATCTAGAATGTTACAGTCCGTTAACAAAGAATATGTGTTTTGTGTTATTAATTACTTCCAATTTTATTGTTATGATCTTTCAGTTTTTTACAGTCAAACTTAGATTTAATTGTTAAAAGGTTGACAACTCTTTGTTCAAGTAACCTTCTTCGTTCTAAGTCTACTTGCAATGTTGAAATATTCCAGAGGCCTTCTAATCTGACAGTTACTCAGATAAGCAGTTGATATAGTGTTAAAACCCATTCCTTACTTTATAAAGAGTAAACATCATTTAACAATGATAGCTCTTTGCTTACTGTAATTACACGCTTCGTTGTAAGCTAATGTCTTTGTATAAAGAATTAAAACTACTTTCTGGGATCAGTTTTAGTCACTATCTGAGTTAGTTTTTTTAAGTATTAGTAAGCTTCAATTAATTAAATTGGTTTTGCGCACTCATCCATTTCCTTTCATTTTATTCCTTTATTTGTTTATTCTTTCTGCTTTTCCTTCACTCACTTTCAAGAAATTATCAGTATATAGATTTTAATACTTTATGTCATGTAGTTATTAGCGAGTAAATTTGTTTTAATAGATTTCACTACACAAAATATTCGTCTGTAAAGATTCCAAATCACAACTAAGAAAACTTTCCTAACAAAATCTCTACAATTTTTGACAGTTTAATTAGAAAAATTTGAAATTGCCTTTATGAAAAACAAACCGCTAGCAGCATTGTAAATATTAGAAGCAGAATTAATATCCACAGTGCCATTTCCATTAGACATATACACTCGAATAAATGCAATTGTAAAACCTGCTTGAAACAAGCAGCGGAAGACACTTCGATCTACATAAGTAGTTATATCAATTGCTTTGCCATAATTATTATTACCTGGTACTTTTAATTTTGAATTGATAAGTATCTGAAATTAACTAATCTGAGAAGGAAATTATTAAACTAAAATATTTTGAAAATAAATAACAAAAAGTCTTGATGACAATTTATAAAAATAATTATTTCAAATTTTCTTAGAGGATTTAAATCTTGCTTTTTTATTAAAAAATGAAATTAATCAGAATTTCCTATTGAATTTATTGCAAACAATGCCAAACGTAGATTCTTCTGAATTTAAAAATACGATGGATTAACATAAATTCGATAAAAGAATAAAACTGTGAGAAGATTGAAAGTGAAGTAAAATTTATAACAGGTTCTAACAGATGTAACGGCGATAATTATGATAATAACATTTATATTGCTCAAAATTAATATAGCAAAACAAAAATACTATGTTCAAATAGTTATATTTACCTTAGACATAGTTGTTGTTAAACTTTCAAGAGTTACTGATTGCAGTAATACAAAAAAAATAATGATGGTTTTTTGCATTTTCAAATTTGAATAATTTTCAATTAATAAAGAAATGAAAGTCGCAAACAGAATTATGAAGAAAAAACTACTGCCGAATGCTTTATGATTGATGATAAGGTTTAATAATGTTTACAAGTACACATTAACTGATAACATAGTCTACCATGAATTTATCATTCCTTTAATATTAAAAGGAAGAAAAAAGAGCACAAAAGAAAGAAATGATAAAGATATACGGAAAACTTGAATGTATTAACTATAAGCATGCAATTCAAAATGTATTAATTTGTTAATTTAAAAATCAGTGATCGAAGACATTAATTATTCAAAAGAACTGTTTTATCAATTCAGATATTCAATTCAGTTTATTATGAGCTGACACTAAATTAACGTCTATCTCAACCTAACAATAAAATAAATTTTAAGTTATTTGCCCTTTAGTATCACCAGCATTGCATCACATGTCTGATAAATTTCAATTTCGATTTCAACTTTTCGATAAAGTCAACTTTTTGACATTTCCAAAATTCGAAGTGGCTTAAACAAATATAAATAAAAATTAATAAGTTATTTCTATTATTCATTTTATCAATTTCTTATCATTTCTTTATTAAAATGAAAAAAAAAAAGAAATACATTTCTCTGCTATTGAAATGATTTTTTTTTTTTTTTTTTTGTTTTGTTTGATTACTTCTTATTGTTTAAATTTACATCAAACTAATAACTGCAATCATTTTGAAAATAGTTTTTTTTTAATAGGATTTTCAGAAGTTATTTGGAATTTAAATTATATAAAGAGCAATTTTATTAGTCCATCATTGGTATTTTGTAAAACAATGGTTTGCACATTTGCGCTGCAAAAATAAAAAGACTTCGAATACACATTTACATAACTGTTTGAAAAATAATCGGTACGATTAATAATCGATTTATGTGCCATTGATAATTTGACATGAAAACCACGTTATTTAAGTTTAGGATAACGACATCTGAAAATTAAACTTTGCATCATACTGCATTAATGGTTGGGAAAGTTTGTGGAATACGGCGCTAAAATCAATTTTAAACCGGATCTCTTGTGTCGATGATCGCATGGAAGTTTTCTCTTAAATGGATTACATCTGCCATATAATTCATTAAAAGTGGATTTATTTATTAATGTCAGAAATGTGACAAAGTATTGGACGAGATAGAAGATTCAAATTTCAAAGATTATTCAGCTCATTCATATACATTTTCAATCAAATATTCTTATATAAATTGAATGAAAATTTTTGCTTAATTATTTATTAATTAGTGCTACATAATTTTATTTTATTTTACTTAAAAAATTTTCATAAATTTAGAATATTCGCTATTCCCTCCTTTCTTTGCATGAAATGTATTGTTTATTGAATAAAAAATTTTCCTTGCATTGGAAATATAAGGCAGACAATGATATTAAATTTTAAATTAAATCAAAACGCTAAAGTAAAATTTTTCATCCGAAGAGTGTCTTATGCTAATTAATTTTTCATTTCAACTTGGAAGAATGAAAATGTCAAAATAAACTAATTAAAAGTAAATTAATTAGTTTATTTTGACATTTTCTTTTAATTAGTTTATTTGAGATAATTGAAGAATGGTGGAAGAAAAAAAACATTACTCTATTACTTTACAAAATAACATTATTAAAAATACTTTTAGACTAATGTGTCGAATGGAAAAAGAAACTCGATTTGAAGTGATGGATCTGCGTAAGATCCGGAAATGAATTAAATGTCTTCCGGACTGGATTTTTGTCCTCCTAATTGATTTACTAATTGGAATCAATTTATTCTATTTGCTCTTTATCTTATTCGTTCTTCTTACTACTCTAAATTTTGATTTAATTTCTATCCTCAAATAAATTCGTTGTTGCCCTTCAACATCAGCACAATTAGTTATTTATTCAACTTATTCACTATCACTATCATTCTAGAATAAATTGACAACAAAAATTTTCATTCATACCTCTGTTTTTCATTTTTATTGCTTAGATTTAATTTTTTTATGAGTACTCTTCATATCACTTTACTTTTTCATTATCCAAAATTCAAGGACTCATTAGAAGAGACCAATGATCAACAAATTTGTTTGATTTTTCACGAAATCTAGCTGATATTTTATGTATCATATCCTTTTTATCTACTGAACTCTGAACTTTCATATCGAAATTAGTTTAGATTAATTCATGAGACAATTTTGAGTCATTTTTTATATTTATGATAACAAAAATGTTCAAAATCATTTCTAAATTACTTTGAAATTCTTCAAAAGTCCGTCCTCGAGAAAGTTCTCAAAATTCCGATTACTTTTTTGTTGAGCTTTCATTATCCAATTTTCAGTAAAATGTTGAAACAATTATTGGTAATACTGTTCTCTGAGGTAAGTAATGCGCATTTTACGGACGATTTCAATACCTGGCTCATGGAAGTCTATGGATCTGATGTACAGACAACATTGAATAGGTGTAAAAGATTTGTTAAATTTTACAAACTCAAATTTATTTATTAAAAGAAGAAATAATTTTAGATTTAAAATCCAAATATTATAAATGTCATATTATTTCTATGCACGAACTAGCATCGAATGAAATTTATGTTCAGATGACATTCAGTGAAAAAAAAAATCTAAAAGGCAAAGAATGAAAGGTGCTAATTCGTTAACAAACTTCTGGAAGAATAAATAATTATAATTTAGGGCAGACCTAGGTCGTATGGGTTCCTTTGGTGGCAAACAGTACCGAGATCAAATGTTAACAAATGATCCGATCGTTTTTGTACACGGTGTCTCGAATACTGCTGGAGAACAACCTTTTATTGGTGCAAGTTATTTCTTGTATGTTTTTCACTTACTCATCCTATCAAATGTTATATATCTTTCACTCAATTTTTGTAAAAGTAAAGTTGTTATCAGAATTGTCCACTTCTGTCCACTAATCTCTACAGTATTTAGAGCTTTTGGTTACGACTGGTCAGAGCTGTATGCGACGACATATGCTAATGGAGCAGAAGGTAATCCAATGCAGTGGGCCAAATATACGATGAATTGCAAATATGTTAAACAGGTAGTTTATTCATTTGCAATTTTAAGACGAAATTTAAAATTCAAAAATGAATGCAACAAATTAATTCATCGCTTATGGAATATCTTACGGTGAGAAATATTTTTTCTAGTAATCATATAAGATTGAATAAAATGATATATCCTACTAATATAATTTTAAATGATAAGATTAATAAAATTTATTTCATAGTACCTAAAATTAATTTAAGATACGAGGATTAATTGTGGCTGTACGTCTGTATACTGGTCGTGCTGTCGATGTTATTGCATATTCTTTGGGTGTACCTGTAGCTCGGAAAGCTATCTTAGGAGGTGAAAATATGGATTTTAATTATTTTTTATTCATTAAATCAACTTACCTCATTATGTTTGCTAGTTCTAGCTAAGCCTAACATTGATGTGCTCCTCGATACTTCATGAACAGAAAACTAATTCTTAGCAATTAGTTTCAAGTTATCAAATTAATAAGACTGATTTGTGTTTTAATTAGTCATTTATAAAATTAAATATGACATAGAAGAGATCGACTGATCTGTCTACAGTTCGATAATTGCTGTTCTATTGTCGACATACATTCCTGCTGGATGTACAATATGCATTTTGGACAAACTTTTTTATATAATAAAATGCATAAGTTCATTTATGATTGCAATTTTATCATATCACTACTGTTTTCATGGCCTTATCTCTTTTTGATTTTGTTTAGGTACCTCCCATTTTGATGATAATTTAAGAATTTGATCAAAATGATCGAACTTTTTCCTGTTTCATATTTAAGGTTTATGCGTGGACACTAAAGAGAATTTGGGAAATCCATTGACAAGTTCTATTGATACATTTGTTGGTATTGCTGGACCAAATCATGGCGTTATGTTAAAGGTTTTAAAGAAATTTTCAAATTTATGTATGTCAATTATTTCAAATGATAGTTCACTTATGTTAATAATGGTAATACTTTGTTTCTAGTTTGGTTTTGCTAGTGTTCCTGTATGCATATTCAATTTAATACCTATTTGTAATCAGAATACCGGTCTTTTCTCTGGTATATGTCCATTGGAAAGTTCTTTCTTGAAGGTTGGGCTTTTTATTATAAAAACTTTTTCGACGACTATTTATCAGTACTTTTTAGAAATGAAATTCGAAATGAAATTTCATATATTTCAAGCATGTCACTGTGCTTCCCTTAGCTGTATATTTACAGGATATAAATTCTGTCATTGGATATGAGGGAAAGAATATATTTACGATTTATAGTAAAGGTGATCAATTGGTTGGATACAATATTTGTGGCAAGGTAACTTTTAATTTCTTTCTTAATTCAAATTGATTATAAATAATTTAATTAAACAATGAGAAAAAAGTTGATGAGAAAACCAGTGTTGTATTATTTAGTTACTTCTCACATATTATTTTGAGGAATAGCTAAGTAATTATGAGCTAATTAATGCAAAATGATCAGAAGTTGATCGATGTTATACATTAAAGCGAACCGAATGTTTGAATGTTTGTAGAATTTAGTTATTTACAAAATGCTAACAAATTAAGTCCTAATAAGCTAATAAGATTTCATAGTTCTTTATTGAATTTTATTAATTTCATTAGTTGAATTTATCAAAACTTCGTAGCAATTATCATAAATCTAAGGTTATGTTTAAATCATAAACTAAATTGACAGGATTTGTTAGCGCTTGTGATTAATTCAGATAACCTCCCAAATAACCGGTCAACATGGTGAAAAAGTTTATAACAAAAAGGATCACAACGAAACATTTCGTGATTCATTGCCAGTTCAACTACAAATGATACTCCATCATATCGTGATATGATATGAGTAATCAGTTAGTTAACACTTATCTCTAAATTGAAATATGGTCTGTTCCAGCTTAGTTCCGATCAGCTGACAGCATCACTTATTTATTACTTGGATTATGAATAAAACAATTATATTTGTTGTGATTTTTTCAAATTTGATTAGCAATAGAGAGAGAGAGAGAGTTTGGTAAGGATTATTCAAGTTTATTTCTATTTCAGTATGCTAACTGGAAAGATTTTAAAGTATGAAGTGTTAATCTGGGAATAAATGATAACTTGGATTTATTATCATCAAAGACAGATCATTTTATCAGAAGAGTGTAAGAGGTCATAAATTAGAACTGAATCTATTAAATATATTTTGAATGTGACAAAATTTAGAGTACTTCAAAACTTTCTTACATTTATATCTTTCCACGCTGCCACAAGGATGCCTTCGTGATAGATTATTTTACAATAATGCTTTACAATTGATGTGGCATAATGTATATTTAAAATGCCTTTTTCCTAGTTTTAAAAATTCAAAGTATGTTAGCAAATTAAATTTGTAGTTGTTTTGTAGTTAAAGATTGTAGAATTGCATACGAATTTTTTCATCGTCACATTTTTCTGCTTTTCTATTAAAATGTGAAATTGTGGCATTTATGATAAGTAAAAGATTCTTTATCAGATCATATTTCATAGTTAAGCGAGCAATTAATATTAACTTAAATTCATTCAGCTTAAGTATCAGTTAAAATTAGTTTTTAATTTTTTTTTTGATTAGCAATTGCAGCTCAAAACTTTGGGTTTTATAATTAAGCAAAAGATTTGAATATGTACATAATTAAATAAAAGATTTTGTAAAAGTTCAAATGCATTTTGAACTTTTATGAAACCAAATTCTACACGCTCTACTTTATTTCTGAAATGATTAATAATTAATTTAATTATGAGCTGCAAAAGTTCATACGTTTTCCAATAAGTAAATACCTTTTTCTATCACTGTAGCCACTTTAAAATATTTCCATTTGTTAAAATTGTTCCGCAAACACAATGATTCTAACAAAAAAAAAAAATAATAATATTGCATTTTCAATTTTTTTTCTAAAGCAAACTGAAAAAATGTTTTTCAAATTCGTTAATTTACCTATCAGAATGAGCCAAGCCGTCAACTACAAATGTCATAAGTTCAAATTTTAAAATGTCATTAAAATTTTTTTATTTACTAACATGGAATGATGTTATAAAACAATACTTTGCCATAAAATTATTTCCCACTATGTTGGAAGATAATTGGCATTTTCATTCAGCAATTTTGTTCGTTTCATTCCATTTCGAAGATGCAACAGTCTTAATTGATATATTAAAGATTAGATTATTTGTTTCTCTCCTAGTAGTTTCTTGGGTCAAAAGCGCTTTTCATGATTCAAATTTCCAACGATATTTTCAGAAATTTACAACACTTTCTTATGATAGTTATGTTAAGCAAAAATGACGATTGAAAAAGAGGCAGAAAAAAAGGAGTTAAGCGGGCAGTTAAACAAGAAAAGGAAATACTTAAATGAAATAAAAGTTTATCACTTCTTATCAGTTGACCCTTAGGCCATCTGTCATCAAACTATTTCGTTGTCAGACTACACTTCACATAAGTGAAAATTATTTGAATATTTGATTAGATAAAATGCTTTTTAAAAATATTTCCATTCTCTATGAATACTGTTTTCGTTGATTACATTAAACAAACTGAGATAGAAGCATTATCAGTCAGGTGATAAGATTCCATCTTATTTGGTTAGAGTTAGAAAAAACTTTTCAAAGTTTACAATGCTGTTGAGTAACATATTACACTTATCTAAATTACCTACTTCGATCAATCTAATCGAATTTTATGATCTCATATCTATGCTTCAATTTCATCTTCGTTAGTATAAATTTTGTTGCAAGAAAAATAGGTTATGGTGCTTTTTGTTAATGAAAATTTTGATCGTCATTACATTTACTCCCGCGAGAGTTAGCAGAATGATAGACGAAATGATCATTTCTCAATTTCATTTAACAAAAACGATTTATTTTCCCAAAGTATAAATTTTAATAATTCTTAGATTTTATATCAAAGAACAAAACATTAATATTAATGGATAATTTCTACAAAGGCATGTGAAGGTAGCAATAACAAAAGTCTAAAATTGTACTCTCTCACCATTCTTATGGAAATGAGAAATAAATTACATTATTTCCATTTTCATACTGTTCACACACTTAGCAATATTTATTGTTTTGTCATACTTATAAAAGCACTCTGATTTAATTAACTTATTTGATAACAAGAAAAAAAATTTTTTGATTTGGAAAGAATAAAAAAAGATATTTATAATCTTGGAAGTAATCATAAGTATGAAACATTTTCTATATTTTAACATGAGACGAAACTTTTTTTAACCTTCTTATTTTTACCACTTTCTTCTCATTTTAGTTATTATCATAGCTATGCTTTAATGATTGATATTTCATTGGAATATTTTAAGAGAAAAAAAGGTAGCATTATGTTCAAATAATAAACAAACTTCTAGAAAACTTTTGTGAAATTTTTTTTTGTGTTTCTGTTTTTATGATTTCTTCGTTTATTGCATATGTCACTAATTTTTGTTTTCAGTGCAATTACAAATTCAAAAGTAAAGAAGAAATTATAAGTAAATAACTGATATAACTATTTGAGAATTATATATGTAAATTATTATTATGAAAGTTTTGAGAGAGTAGAAATGCTCGAATGATTTACTGGCATTCTCCGTTCTTTCTCATTACGATGATGGGTTGAGATAAGGTATCGAAGCGGAAGAGATGAGAACGATTTATCGGATATTACTGAAAGATTGGCAATTTTCTTTGTAAACACGAATGTTACATAAAATTTACATAACAATGATGTGTAGAGTTAAACTTAAGATAGGTGATAATGGGTGTTCAGGTCAGTTCAGATTATTATCAATTATCTAGAACTTGATAATATCGAATATCCGAAATCTAAAAAGAAAAGTCTAATGTATGCTTGATGCTCCTGTGAATGATAAATTTAATTTCTGAAATGGCTTAATAAAGAAAAAAGCCTTTCATATTCACTCTATAATGAAATGAGACTTATTTATTTTGCTTGTAATAAAACTTCTTTCTTATTCAATCTATGTAATGGCTAACTAATATTTTCTCATATACGGTTGTTTTCTACTTTCGAAAAGTTTAAAGTTCAAAATAAGAATGTCACTCAATTTCAATTACTTTTTCTCTTAGTCAATAACAGTTTTGACTGAAACATTATCATTATGAAGATACTAAAGCTTAAATTCATACAAAATTTATCCCATTACCTATTAAATTAGCATACTAAATTGATTCAAATACGGTGAGCTGACAATCAATATTGAGCATATTACATTATCAAATTAGGTAATTTACCAAGAAATCTGTTTTAAATGAACTAATCGTTTTTAAATAAATTAACCAATATATCAATTTCATTTCCAAATAATCTTCTCTGATCTTTCACAAATAGAAATTCAAATGGCAATCTAATGATAATAAGCAATATCATTTGTTGAGTAATACTCTTCTGATATATTCTATGCATTGTCGTATTAACCATTATTTTTCCATTTTCATTGTTTACTAAAAATCGTTTATAAAATGCAATGGACGTTACACAGATATTATAGACTAAAATTATTAAAATTCATATTTTATACTATTGCAAATCCTATTGTTATTAGTTTCGGATATTAAAATGATACGCTTTAGCATATATTGCATAGCATAGTCAAATCATATAAATTTCCAGAAAATAGACGATGCTATTTAAATTTTATCCTTTCTGGTCTTTGAATCAGTCTCCAATATAGCTAATATTAAAAAATAGAAAAATCAGAAGCATAAATGAACGAAGGTAATATCTTAAACAAGAGTGTTCCTTAAACAGTGCTGATTTAAGCTAAGCAATGAAATCAAGTAGAGCACAACAATTTTTTAATATTTTCCTTAATCAATCCAGTTAGACTGCGACAATTTATTGAGAATTTATTTTTGCTCTTAACTGTTTGAAGCAAAAAAATTTGTTCTGCCGTAAATTATATAGTACTATTCAATTATTGATAATCTGAAATTCAGTAAAGTATCGGATTAAATTGTATAAAATCTTTACTTACTCACTTAGTCAAGAAATGCAAGACTAAGAAATTAACGACTAGTTAATCTTCAAGCATTTTTCCATCTTCGGATGATTTATTTGATTTATCTCATTTTAAAACAGAATTTAATAGCAAACCTGAGGAATGCATAATTTCAGAAATATAAATCAAACTAGCAGAAAAGAAAATGAGGCTATCTTTATTATATCCTATGCTAGTTCTGCTTCTCATTATTACAATTACGCAATCATTTGTTTTGCAAGAATTACCACTAAATCAATATTCCTTGAAGCGATATAATCGAAATTTCGATCCAATCGAAGATTTTGAAAATTATATACCGAACTACAAGGTAACCTTTTCAACATTTACAAAGTAGAGTATATAGAACAAATGAAATTTTAAATGAAATATTAAATGCAATCATTTTGTGCTATTAAGAAATGATTTTTTTTTTTTAAATTCACAACAATTTTTCTCATTTTCATCCTTTCCTTTTTTAAAAAGATGTTTTCAAATGGTCTTAGTTAAAACAAAAAAAGAAAAAAAATGGAGGTTAAAGTGATTTCAGGCATTTTATAATTATCGATTTTAGCCATCCATGCTTGATTATCGAAGATTTCGGGAAGTTAGTCTAATATGATCACAAATATTTTGTTCTCATCTCATTGTAATCAAATTTTGCTCTGCAAACACAACCTATTGCACCCATTTTGTATACAGCGATATTGCTGTGATTTGATAAAAACTGGTGAGAACTACTGATAAGAAAATGCGATCTTTGCGTGTGATTTGCTTCAATTTGCAGTGTTGCTAATGTTCACCACTATCGTTTCATTTAGCTCTGTATCTTCTGTAATAAAAAATTTGAAGGTATTCAAATGACACCATCAAGTGAATCACTAGACTTTGCTGAATCACCGAACATTTCACTGGTGTTCATATTTTAGTTTCATAAATTACTAAAATCCAACAGGATGTATTGATGGAATTACGAAGAGAACCAGCTAACTACCAATTTTGATAGTTTGGAACCAACAATAATTTAGTTATAGAATGGGATGAGAAAATGAGTTAACATTCCATCTCTCTGAATTGGACCAAGCGCCATGTCTTGGCAGTTTTAATCACGTAAGCTTGTCTGATCAGAAGATCCATTAACCCACAGCACCGAACACAATAATAACGTCAGACGCCGTTTGAAAAAAAAATCACGTCTAATGGATGATTTATTTCTTGGACAACAGTTAGAACGCGATAAACGTTGAACAGCAACAAAATGAAATACCGTAACAAAAAGAAAGAACTGTACACAACATCAGTCCATCAGTGAATAAAGGAATTACGGCAAATCCATAATTTTTCAAAATAGTATACAAAAAGATGAAATAAAAATCAGAAAGATTTAAATTGAACTTCTGAACAGATCTCTGCAGTAAAGTAAATAGTAGCCCACGGTAGCAGGTGCAATTAGTCTAAAAAATAAAGGAACATGAGATGTGAGAACCTTCGAATGAGATCCAGCTCCCAGGTATCATTTAGAAAATAAACTAGTGTGGAACACCTTTTCTCTGACTTGCACTGATTGAAAATTCTTTTAACAAGAAGAAAATCAAAATCAAACCTTGATTATTCCATGCCTCACAACACGGATAATCTTACCTACTCATAAGAATTGCAGGTGGAATTTCAGGTTTAGTTGGTAAGATAACATCTTACAAAAAATAAGAGCCATTCCATTTCGAAACTTATATCTTAATAGCTCCCCGTTTAAAATTTCTAAACTCAAAATTTAGGAAAATGTGCATTGTCTCAAACTTTCAGATTCAGAACGGAATGGAATAGCGTCATCCCGAATCAGTGTTTCTATTTACTACAATGCAAGCGAAAATTAGCAAAAAAAACTGAGGTCAAAAAATAACCGCCCTTTTATAGAAAAACGAACGTCTTAGCAAACTAATAAACGTTCAACGGAGCAAACAATGTCAAAATTTGATAGGAAATTTTATAAACTAAGAACGAAAAAAATGGAATTATTTTCGACGTCTGTCAGCTTCCTGTTGTGTAGGTGGTGGTGGTGGACCTTTCTTGTCCAACTCTTCCAGATACTGTTCCAATAATCGTTCCCGTTCTACTGGGGCATTATTCAATACGATATATCGCTTATCATTCTGGAAACAGCATTTAAAAACCTCACAAATCTCTTAATTAGTAATTAGTATCGAAAAGCAAGTAGCGTAGAGGAAAGAAAATGATAACGGAAACTTCTACTACTATATTAAAAACCACATTAAAAAATTATATTAAAAAAAAAAAAAAACTATTATATATTACTATTACATCAAAAAAATCCAACTGTTCAAAAAACCAGAAAAATACTGAAATAATTTCTGCAAATCCCAAATTATATAAGATTCCTGTCCAGGAACGAAAAAATTTTCAACCACTAACTTCGAGTACTGCAAGTATGTCACGAAGATGCTGCTCGTTTTCTTGTATCATTTTTAAAGATTTATAGGTAATAATTTTAGTTTCTTTTAACAAATCTTTGAAATCTTTCATTACTGCTTCTTTCCGCTCCTCCATCCATTCTTTGTAATCACGTTCCGTCTTCTGAACAACATTGAGAATGAGTACAGAAAAAAAACAAATTAAACAAGGCAACCTGCTTTCAAGTCTGCCACGTCGTAAAAGTTCTATTTTTGTAGTGACTATTTTCTGATTATTTCATTACTTAGAGGAGTGCAATGTAAATTTAAAAGTACTAAAATCATACAGAGAATAAGTTAAAAAATATGTAAAACAATACATAAGAATTAAAACTATCTCTCCTTCACCAATAGTAGCTAATTATTTCAACACTTTGTTTCGCTTTTGAACCTCACAATACTGGTCTAGAAATACGAAAGATAATACATAAAAAGCGACAAATCAATAAAAAACAAAAACAATACCCTTTCACTAATGTTGAATTTTGCGAATCGCTCATCTTTCTCAATGATTTTTTTAGCTTCTCGCCATTTCATACTAGGTGTAATATCTTTTGTTTCATTTAACAACTGCAACAGAATCAAGAATTAAAAAACCGGAAGTTTCACAAGTAATTTGTAGTGACCTTCTGATCAAAATAGCAGTTTAGCTATATTCCTTTTTTTGGCTTAAAAAAGTAACCACCAAAATTTGGTAAGTAAATAGTCTAGAAATTTTAAATGAGAAAGCGAATAGTAATTTCAAAAATAGAAGAAAATCAATAAAAAGCGACCTGAAAAAAAACTTCTCGTCTTTTTCTTTCCAAATGCTGAACATGTGCATCGAATAACCTTTCTTTAGCGTCTTTTTCCAAAAGATCACAATTTTCATAACGTGAATCTTTTCGCAATATTCGACGAGCTTCATGCCATGTATAATCAGCTGATTTTATCTGCAAAATGCCGAGATTTTGATCAAAATCAAAGGAAGTTATTTAGATTAAAAGCTACATCGTTCATATGATTGGCATAGTTGTTTGGTCTAGCACAAAGTGCACCCGCAGGATTATATCGAAATAGTGAAAATACGATTTGATTCATGAAGCAGTACAACTTACCAGATCAATCAATAATGCTTTAAAAGATTCTTCATGCTCTTGATATTTGTGCTTTTCATGCTCTTTACTTCTTTCTTTTAGCTGTTCACCTAGCTCAGCTTCCACTTCCTTCTTACGCTCTTCGATGGCAGCTTCAGCAGCAACGCGCTTTTGACGGTCATTTTCCTCCTCGATATCCTCAAATTTCACATTTCTTTTTAAATGGACTTCCAATTTTAGCTAACTTTATGCACATACACTTTATATGTAACTTATACCACTTAACAAGTTTACTATTCGGCACTTAGATACCAAGTAGTGTTTGTAGTGTTTAACACCCTCCTGATTTTAAATAAAATCAAAGTAAGAGATACACGAAATACATCTATAGTAACAAGAATAATATGAACATACCAAAAGAGTGCTTGAATAAAACTGAAAAAAATTACTGAATTAGATTCTTCTGGCAGTGTATCCTGATATTCACGGAAAAGGCTTTCACGACTTGAGGAGCGATCAACAGCTTTATAGCGTTCATCATCTTCCAGCTGCTTCTTTAGCGAGGACCACTTCGTTCGAGAAGTAATATTCTTCTCCATAAGCATTGCAATGAAATCCTTACGTATCTACAATAAAATGAATATTGTTTTTAAGATTAAGAAATTAGCCATTTTTTTGATTGTTTGAAAACTAAAAATTTTCATACATCGACCAAGCAAAGTATCCTCGCTCACTAGCCATCCTGCTAAAAACAATAATTAAATTTGTACCTTTTCCTTTCTTTCCTTGCGTTCTTCCTTTTCCTTCTTCTCCAGTTCTTGAACATATTCGTTAAAAATATCTTCCTTATCTCGCATTTTTTCAACACCCTTGAATCGACTGTCTTTGCCCCATTTCGAGGCGAATGATGAAAACGATGACCTGAAAAAAGAAAGAATAACTTGATGTGTACTGATCGCACAACCTAAAAAACGCTAAAAAAAAGAAACATTTTTTCGTTGAGACATGGATGTCATACAGTAAAATAATACGACTACAGAAGTCATTCTAACATAATAAATGTTAATTTTTACATAGTTTAAATAAACCAACCTTCCATGTAATTTTGCCTCTTCAAGTAAATTCTTAAAATTTTCTCGCGCTTCTTTAGCACGTCTTTTTTTCTCTGCTCGTTCAATTTCGGTTCGTTCACGTACATAAGCTTCGAAAGCCTAAATTTAAAAAATCTCTAAGTACTGTTGTTACTATTAAAGATGAAATAATGCTTCTCTCTAACTCAAACAATTTCAATTATTTAAATAAAAAGACTTGAAAATCTAAATAAACTTACAGCTTTCCGCTCCACAGCATTTAAAAGTAGATAACGCTTATCAAATACAATTTTAGATAATTCTTTTTCCCAGGTGCTTCCAGCACTAACATTTTTCTCGGTTAACATTTCTTTAAATTCTTGTAGTCTACGTTCAAACGGCACCTACAAATGGAATCAAAAATTATAATTTGAAGGAAAATAACTTTATCCATTTCAAAAGAGGAGTCCACCAACAAACAGAGAGAAGTTCATAAATCGTTCTACTCTACTTACAACAGTAATGATAACAGTAAAAGCAACAGTCCTAATGCATCGCCTTAACCAATTTTTTACATCTGATAAGTCAAAATTACTTCAATAAAGTTTTAAAAATTCCAAAATTCTCCGTCATCTGTTACCTCCATTCTGATACTTTAATTAAATTATTAAGGACATCACTTCTTCTCTTTCCTTCTGTGCTTGTAATTCTGCTTGAATTGCTGGATCAACTTGTTTCTCAAGCATCTGCCTTGGCCTATCCTTCTCTTTTTTCGCTGCCAACTGTTCCAAACGCTGTTTCTCTCTGAATGTATCATATTATATATAAGTAATTTTGGAATTTAAATGATATACAGAAGTCATTTTGAAGAACAAACAATTTCTTTTCTTTTCGACTCTTTTTAGCTGCTGGTGGCGCATTTTCTTCATCATCATCACTTTCCTCCGAACTCGCTGTCTTCCCTTCATCATCCGCTTTTTTGGTAACTTCCGGTTCTACAAGTGATTA